GGAGCTCATGTCGCTTAGGGTTACTGCTTTCGAACTTCAGGGTTTCAGGGTTAAGGGTAGTGTCCATCCATGGGCAATCTCCGTAGCTTCAGACACATAAACTTCCTCTGGAGCCAACAAACCCCACCTAAAGTCTCAATCCTAGTTACATAGACCCTAAACCCTGGAACCCTAGAAACCCCTCAATCACTAACTTCAAACCAATAGTGCGCACAACATTGTAGATCACGTCTACTTTTCCTTTGTAGCCCCACCAGCCCCAAACAGTAAGCTCCAGGTCCCAAGCCCTCATCTAGGGTTTAAGGTTAGGGTTTTTGCGTTTAGGATTTCGGAATTAGGGCTTAGGGTTTACGGTGTAGGAATTAGGGTTTAGGGTTTAGGAAGGGCCAGGTTCGGTACTGAATCCAGTGACACCGTGTCGTCAGTCAACAGATGTTGGGAATGAATCTACATCCTACACCCTGATGGTATGTGCATCCACATCAGGAGCTCTTAAATTAAAAGCCGTCTCTTTGCAACCTCCAGCTACTGAGGATGAGCTTGAGTGCATGGACCTGCTTTTGGACTTGTGACTGGTCCGGAGCAGTTTTGGGTTTAGGGCAACGATGGGCTGATGTTGTGGCGTTGCTTGATGTTATCGGTTTTTGTCTGGGGGTTAGGGTGGGGCATACTCCTAAATCATCCACGTTGTAGTTTCCATAGTGGTTGCCGCTTTTCGGGTGTATGCAAGCCCTGTTGCGAATCTCACGTATACCTAGCAATGAACCTCCAAGTAGGGTCAAAACCATACCCCCTGCATCTTGGGGGGAGCCTAGCTAGCGGCTTTTGAGTTTAATGTTTATATGTTTGGAGGAGCCCCCCACCCTATAATAGTGGAATGATGGAATTATAAGGGGACCCTGACATAATTACCATTATCACTGCACTTATAGTCACCATTCCTGGGTGGGCGGCCCACCTAATTTTCATGGTAATTTTCCGAAATAGAGGGATCCCAATATAGAACCCCCGCATTAAAATCTGTATTATAGGGACCTCAATAGTACCGCAAATTTTGGGAACCCCCCCCCCAAACATTTTGTTTGGCCTGCTCCAACCCTAAGCAGTTGCTACTACCATGTTATTCGTTAGGGTCAGCGTCAGTATACTGACCCTAAGCCCCGAAACCCTGAGCCCAGCCAGATTTGCTGAACTTCAACCTAAACCCTAAACCCTAAACCCTTAATGCCCCCAAGAGGACAACCAGAGGGCGTCAGGCCCGGAGAGGTGTAGAAAAGGGCCCCAAACCCTAAACTCTAAACCCTAAACCCATCTGAGCTATAGTCTAAACTCCTTAATGGGGCGGCTATATGAGGGATTATATAGGGGACTAGTATAGGGGTTAGCAAGGGGGATACTAGGAGTTTAGACAATGGCTCATCTGGGGTCTGGGGGTTGAGGTTTTGTAACCGTAAGCAGACCTTGCCCCCGACGCCCCGACCCTTTTTGAAAGCAACATCCTGCGCCGTGAGAGCCTCAATCCGAGCGCTGTGCACGGTTTTTGCGAACTTGCCAAACGGATTTGACGACGATGCCCTCATGGAGGAACTGAGCACAGCCCTAGAGTCAAACGACCTAGTAGAATTGCACGAAGCTTTTTGACATAGCGTGTTTTTGGGATAGTCCTGGCCTAGTTTTGATGAGGATGGTTCTTGTCGTTGAATACCACGCTTTGGCATTTCTTCGCCGTTTCTAGCAAGCCACGAAAACATCTAACGGCACGGTAAAGATCATTATCCTAACCGTAGTGGCTCCGAAAAGGGAAACGCCAGACCCTGAGCTTCGGTGCAGTGAGGAAAGACCATGAGAAGGTAGTTGATCAAAACTTCTGCTCGCAAGATGGCCATTATGGAAACTAAGTTCGCTTATGTTTTTCCTTAGAGACCTACATGAACCTTAAAATGATTACCCCAATGGACGTTTTGATCGACCAATCATGGGGGTGTGAGGGAGCGTGTAAGGGGGGGTAGGGGTATATTGAAACTAAGCTAGTCCTCATTACATTCTAAACCCTAAACCCTAAACCCTTAACATTAGCGCTCCCTACCCCCCCCCCCTCCCCCATCCCCAATGAACTAAGATACTGCACAGCTGGCCTCAAAAAAAGGTCCTTTAGGGAGATCATATAAAGTTCCCGTAGGTGATCACGGAAAGAAAAGGTTTTTGTTGGTACGCTGGCCATTTATTTTGGGGTCTGAATTTCGATCAACAACCAAAAATGTGTATCCCAACCTTAAATCCCAAATCCTACAAAACCCTAAAACAAAATCTTTCTTTAATCCTTGAGCCGTAAACCAGGGACGGCTCAATCCTAATCTCACCAGTAAGAACCTCAGCGAGCATCTCAGATCTGTATAGCTACTTGCTAGGGTTTAGGGTTTAGGGTTTGCATCTAAACCCCAGTTTCCATTTCATGTTCCATATTCTTTTCCATTAGATGCTCCATTATTGGGGCTATATAGTCCCTAGGCTCTGAAACCTAAACCCTATCTTGGGTTGGGCCCCCACCCACTAATAGCGGTATGCTGGGAATATAGAAAGACCTCAATATAATTACCATTACCTCCTGTGGTCACTATAAGTGGGTGGGGGCTCAACCTATGCCCTATCCTTCATCTCAGGCCTGTACAGCTACGCGCATCTAACTGCCTACTGCTGGATTATGCGGATCTTTGAGCCTCTGAATTCGGGCCAGATACCCTGGTGGCGGGCTGTGTTTTCAGGCGGGCAAGTGGATGTTGGGTTATATAGGGTTCATGTGGGAAACATATCGGGGCTATATAGGGATCTTATAGGGTAGCGTGGGGATATGATCCCAATACTGGAGAATCAAATGTAGAAGAAATGGCGAAGGAAATGGAATTAGGTTTCAGGTTTCCATGCTGGACATTGCCCCAAACGCCTCGCCGCTGACCCCTAACCCCTAAACCCTAAACCTTACTCCATTTCTATGTTGGCATCCATAGATAGGGGGACTCCACTGCACCTCTTTGCCATCTTCGGAGGTTTAGGGTTTAGGGTTTGCTGTGATACCGTCCAGGCAGTGATGATTAGGTGTCAACGACTCTTCAACTGCATGGCTGCTTGCGAGGTGCTGCCATGGCCTGACTGTAGAGGGCCCCACTCCACGCTGTCTAAGGCGGCCAAGCCGCCCAAACCTACGCTCAGTTAAGTCCATCTTGGTCAACAACACCAGTTCATTCCATTTGTTTTTTCATTGTTAAAGGGATCTGGAGGCGTACGAAGAGCCCGTGGCAGGCCCCCTGCCGGGAGGCCTGGGAGCCCAATGACAGCAGAGAACCACAGCCGCGAAAAAGGCCGTTGCAAAGGTTGCGAAGTCTCGGGAGGCGCTGAAAGGCGGCGAGAGGCTTGCTGCAAGGCCTGGGAGGCACGAAATTCGCTCGCAGAGGAAGGCCTGGACCCCCCACCAGCCAGCCATTCTTGGGGAAGAGTTTGGGGTTTGGGGAATTTTTTTTTTTGCAACCAGTACTGGTTGCAGGGAGAACAGGTTTTGGTACCGGGCCCATCGCGGTCGCTGCCGCTACCACGGCTGCGCTGTAGAGACCTTTTGCAATGGAGGGCGAGGGGCTTAGGCGCCGCCCACCCGCAGTAGGTGGGGCGGCCTAAGCGCTGAGTTTAGGGGTATTGGCCAACAGGCTGCGGAGGACTAGATTAATGTCCCGGGTTTAGGGTTTAGGGCCTAGGGTTTGTCACATCAACAAGTTTACCTAAATCCTAAACCCTAAGCCTTATATACCCCTATGGAACCGTATGGCACCCTATATTACCCTATATAGGCTTACGGGGCAGCAGGCCTGTTTTGACCTTGGTGCTGACAAAGCAGCCCCCTACACTGTGATCCCAAAATCTTAAGCCTAGATCCAAGCACCTTTTTTTGGCCATGCTTTAAGCGGTTAAGAGTTCAGATGTATAGGGTTATATAGGGATTATGCAAGGATATCGCCCCAACAACGGAGCATCAAACTGCAAAGAACATCGAATATGACGTGGCGTCTGTGTTTACGTGGCAGTTTCCATAGATAGAGGGCCCCCTGCACTTCTTTTCAGGGTTCCTGCAAAGATTTTGATGAGTTCTGTCTTGTGAACAGCTCCGTCAAACCCAGACCCTAAACATCCAACTTGTGTACTTCTTTGAGAGCTCTGTCATGCAGGTCTGGTATTTCTTCTTGCAGCTCACAGCTACACGCCATAGAGGAAATTAGAGGAAATTTCGCGCCTAGTAGCCCCAAGTACTGTAATCATTGTTATTGTTGGGGCTTTATACTGGGTGGGGCAAGATTTCCTCCTGCATCGTCCTTCGCATATAAGGCCCAAACCCTAGACCCTAAGCCCTGACCCCCAAAGCTCTAAATCACAGGTGGTCTCTTCCCTTATGGATATGGAGTTTATTATCTTTACTTGGGGAATTGCCTTGCTGGAGCCGCATTCCCGCTGCAGCTCCGTGTCTGTGGCGGAGTATTGGCAGTTCCTGGGTCGCTGTCAAAACCCTAAACCCTAAAACGCGGTTTAGGGCTAAGGGTTTAGGGTTGCGGAACTTGATCGAGTTCAGAGAAGTTAGGATTTAGGGTCCAGGGTTTGAGGTTTAGGTTAGGGCTTTGGGCTGAAGTTACTGTGATTTGAATACACAGTATTTACGAGAGTTAGCTCATAATGGGTATTCAATTGAAAACCTTAAGTCCTTCGTATAACTCTAGTTTCCATTTCGTTTTCCGGTTTGTCTTGTCCCTCTGATTTTCTATAATCCGAATCCCTGAACCTCAATATCTCTATATGAGCACTACAGAAAACCGCAAACCAACTCAATTTAAGATCCTTAACAGGTAACAGGCAGCCCAGAAATCCTGAGCCCTAAGCCCTAATTAAAAGCACCCAGTTTTAAGTCACCTGAACCCCAACACTCTAAACCCCTAGGTTCTAAACCCTGAGCCCTAAACCCTTAGGTTCTGATGTTTACAATTTTTTATGTCGCGCCTCGAGCTGGAAATGGATCTACAAACACCAGGCAGGCCAGAACCGTACGCTCCCGCCTTGAACTCTGAAGGTTTTTGGTCTAGGGTTCACAGTTTGAGGGTTTGGGAGGGGTTTAGACGTTTACGTTTGGGGTTTAGGGAGCTTAGGGTGTAAGTCGAACCCGGCACCCGGACGCCCTTGAGGCCCACCGCCATCACCTTCTTTGGAGGCACCAATGCTGTACTGTTCGCCTCTTGGTGAAAAGTTCGGGGTCAGGTTTGTAGACTCAAGTTCCAAACTATCCCATTCAGACACTTCAGGAACTACAGAAGCTTCCAGCAGTCACACAGGCGGACCTAATGCAGAAGTTGAGTCTATATTTCTGATGTTATTCTCTTACGGTCTTCGCATCATTATAGTCGGGTAGTCTCCGAGACCCTATTCTATCTAAACCGGCACCTACAAATAATCCCCACGTACTATGCAAACGCAGTCTCCATTCAATTTAACAAATTTCTTTCCCATTATGATTCTCCGTTATTCTAATTCTTTAGGCCTCTACACTTGTACCCTAAAACCTAAATCGTGCCACGCACTAGCCACCCAGGTTTCGTCTCTTTCCCACTGGCTTTTGCACCTTTGGCGCCGCTGTGTGCCGGCCCACCCTGTCATCCGCAAGGCACAGGGCGATGGGGGTTTTAGGGTTTAGGGTTTAGGGTTTAGAGGAGAAGAAAATCGAAACTGCAATGTTCTTCAGCGTCTGGGATTCAGGGTTAAGGAATGGAAAAGTACCTAGAAACCACAAGATTACCTGTTCAGGGCTTAGGGTTTGGAGCTGACAGTCGGGATCTTGGTAGTGTTGTGGAGGGTTACCTTGCAATGACCATTGTGGCGATCCTCTCTGGTGCCAGTCATATGCAAGAAAAAATCATGGGGTAAAGAACGCACCTATCATTTTACGAGTCACGGACATGAGTAGGGTTTAGGGTTTAGGGTCCCAAAGCCTTAAACCTAAACTTGAGCCCATGACCTGCAACCATGAGGATGGTAAACCGGTTCACAAGCGAAACCACGTCTCTGGGCTTGACTGCGGAAAAAAAACGTATGATGTTTTTTTCATGCCGCGGTAGTTTAGACAGCCTACGTTTGTTCAGCTTATCCTGATCCCTTAACCCTTAGGTATTGTGGACTCTGATGCATGTGCTCTTCACATTTGGTAGCTGGATTCATGTGTACTTCCTGTCCTTGGCTTTCGTCCACCTGCAGCAATACTCCGCGCTCGGTGCCGCTCTGTTCCTGACTTTGTCTACCAATCTCACGGAAAAAGCCGTGTGCGCGATGCTGACATTCGTGTACACCCGTCTCATATTCAACGTGCGGAGTCAGCAGGATGAGCCACGATTCTTGCCCAGGGAAAGTAAATCTAAACCCTCTACCCTAAACCCTATACCCCTAAACGCACTACCCTCAAACCCTCTACCCTAAACCCTATACCCCCAAACCTTATACCCTAAATTCTATACTACCATCTGGGTGTGGGATTGACACAAGGAAGGCACTCGGTTTATATATTGAGGTAATATAAGGATAATGGAGAAGAAAATGGAAACTACAAGGATTATAGGGATTATATCAGGGTTATATGGATAATGGTGGAGAGCCGAAGTCAAATATCTGCTTCGGTTTCACATTTTTTTTGCTACACCGGGACGGGGTTGGTGAGCGCCAAGATAATTAATACCCTACATTGGGCACAAAGTCTAAACTCCTTAAACAGGGTTATGTAGGGGAGTATTATAGGGCTTATTAAGCCCTAAACCCTAAACCCTACTCCTAAACCCTAAAGGGGGATGCTAGGTTGGCGAGCACCAAGGCAATTCTCATCCTGTCAGTCGGGTAATGAGAAGGTTGCCTGACACCAAAGCAAGGTAACAGCCCTAAACTCTAAGCCCGAAACCCTACCAGTAGAAGAATGTGCAAGCGGACCCTAGACCCTAAACCCTAAACGGTGCTTCTCAGGAATCTTGGGTGATCAGAGGAGGCATCTGATCATCCCTATAGCTCTGACCCATGCCTTGTGCGAAAGCGCACGCCTTGTGAGCCTGGTGTCCGTGGTTATCCAATCACCTGATTGGTGGTGGATGTCTGCTGGACCTGACTTGGATAACATGTTTTCAACCAGCTGTGATTGTGTGCTTTTCAAAAACAGGAACTGTGGTTTCCATAGGGCTTTCAGAAGAAGCAGGTGCAATCTTTTCTTGAACCTCTTGTTCAACCTGCTTGAGCGCAGCTACACGAGCCTGAGCTTGTTGACCTACCTGTTCCCCAGGGGTACTTGGAAAATAACTTTTACTTCTTGCTTATTAGAATGCCAAGAAGCAAATTTTTTAATTTACTTTGGTTTAGGGTTCCTAAACCCTAAACCCTAATTTAGCGTACATAGGTTCCCTGGCTTCGTGAAGACCATGCTTCCTGGGATTAGCATGGTACTGCACCAGGCTAAGTTTGTTTTTCTTCCGTTTAGGGTTTACGGTCTAGGGTTTAGGGTTTAGGGTTCAGGGTTTGGGGTTTATGTGCAAGACTAAGTAGTAACAAATATGATTGCCCGAGAACTCTTGACTAGTTGTAATGTAATGTACTCCTAAAACCCTTTTAGAATGGAATAGGCCCCTGCTTGTAATCCCTGTACAACCCCTTTATGTTCCTGGTTTCCATGTCATTTTGACGTATCCTCTGTTCTTTTGCACTCGATTCTCCTTTATCTTATGGCTTTAGGTTTCTACCGCCCCAAAGCCTAGTCCCCATTCTCACTACATGGGGCCATGCATTAGAGGGTTTAGGATGCGTGGCTCAGGATGCACTATTTTCTAAAAAATGGGTCCAGCGCAAGATGACAGAACATTGCCACGACATGGAAGTATACTCATCTCAGAACATTGAGAAAGCATGGTAATAGACTTTTATAAAGATAGAAGAGAACTGTGAATTATGCTGATTTCATCAGGTAATGATAGGAAAGATGGTAATATACCAGTAGGCCACATGATATCATAATATCATATTAACAACTTCCGCAGTGTATTAAGATGAAGCCATCACCATGTAGCCACCCAATGATGTAATGATTTAGCGCTACCAAAGCAATGTACGATACGTACAGAATCATTTCAGTCATACAATTGCAATGATATGATACCATTACAGATTCTGCCTGATCAAAGGGCAAGCCCCCCATTCCTGCAATCAGCACTTGGAGGGTCAGGGAGACTTAGTAAGTAGGGCAATAACCCCTAAACCCATATAGTAAGCCCATTTATCCCCATTATTAACCTACTTACTAAGTCCCCCTGACTCCCCAAGCAACAGTTGCCGGCGCTTCTCTTCTCTCTCCTCCAGGCCTCTGTCAAGCGGAACGATCTTTTTGAGACCATGCTTGAGATCCCTTGTCTAAAGCAAGTGCTTTCAGGAGTATCACCGATATGCTCTTCGCCCGGAAATGCCCAGTGGCCTTCTTAAGGTTGCTATGCAACCCCTGATTTTGGGTGAAGCCCTTCACCCTAAACCCTGAACCTTCGACCTAAAACTCGAAGCCATTCAACTCAAAACACCAAACCTAGATCTTGAATCCGAAGCCGTCGAACCCTTAATCTCACACACCCTACTTTCGAGGGACCCTATAGTTAGGCAATATACTCCACCTCTTTAACAAGTTCATTGTCGTTCTGTTGTTTTTTGTAAGTAGGTTGCCTGAGTATCCCGAAGGCCCCTAGACCCACAAATCTACTCCTTGGCCCCTACACTCAAACCCATACCGATTAATTATTATCTTCAGTGTTGCACAAAGTCAGCCCATGAGGAGGCAAAGTTGCTCTCAGGCTATTCCCAGTACGTTTCTTGGCAGGCTTTTGTTACGGTTTTGGCCATTCAAACTTCCAAAATCAGGACCCCGTGATTATCATATGGTTGTTATAGGTCCTTACTATGTTTCTCTTTGAATTGCAGGACTCCGGGCTTGGTGTTTAAGAGTTTTGTGGTTCAAGGTTTAGGCCGTAGTCTTAAGGTTTAGGGTCATGGGGTGCTCGCTAGTGTGTGGGCACACCGAGGCCCTTCGCACCCGTACTTGCAGGCAACCCACCCCGATCACCTTCGTTCAGGTCCATTGGGGTTTAGTTCCTGCATCCTAGTGTGGGCCACGTCCGCTGCCATGGGCTCAAAAACTGTCAGCTGCCTCTCTGTGATTTGATTGGCTGGAAAGGTGTAGCATAAGCCGCACGTAAGACGGGAAGCAGTTTCGTGCCAGCGCGGCCGATATTGCCGTAGTGCCACCGCACTCAAATGAAAGAAGTTGCGTCGCCTACGGTTTCGGGCGCTTGGCAGCAGACCTATTGTCGAAAGCGAGAGGGTTCCACGTCAGGCTGCCAGAGCTCAGCAGGACCCTTGCCGTCTGCCGAGTGCGCGCGCGCGGCTGTGTGTGTGTGTGTGCGTGTGCGAGACATTTCATAACTTGGACGAAAGGTGTGTCTTTGCAGGAGCCCATGCCAGCAGCGAAATGAGGTTGGGTTTGTCATGATTCGGCAGCGGCTCCGTCTCGAAGTTGTGGAAGTTGAGAGTAGCGGCGCAAAGAAAGAGTGTGTCGAAACCGGAAAGAAATCAGCTTACGTCAGCGGCGGAGCGTTAACCTTTGACGTGTATGCCGGCTCTGGGGCTCACCCACTTGGCCTCCGGGGCTAGGATCCAAGCTGCCAGCTCCCTCCCCTTTTTAAAGTTTGTACAAAGCTCGGTGGATAAGGACTTGCTGATTACCATCTGACCTTAATACAGTCCTGATTTTGTTTCTTGACAGTCTCCTGTGTGGATGTCAGGACTCAGGATTTGGTGTTTAAGGTTTAGGCCGTAGAGTCAAGGTTTAGGATGGTTTAGGATTTAATGACTAAGGTTTACAAGAAGCGTTCAGGGTGCCAGCTTTAGGGTTCCTGGTTTGGTGTAGAAGTCTGGATCGCAGGAGCCGGAAATGTGTTTCGTACTGTTTTATTCGAAATGTGTAGGTGGAAAATTTGAGCTTTGTTGCGTCGATGATAGACAGGGCTTTTTTTTGAGAAGGGATTCCATAATCAGCTAAGGTTTCCGTCTTGGCTTACCTGACGGCGGATTGGATTTCGGGCAATTGGGCTTCATCAATATTTAATTTCGAATCCCTTTGCCTCATCTGCGCATCTCTTGTCCTGGAATTCTTGGAAGACATCGTGGTCACGTTCGGGACTGCAGATTGTTCTGGTAAGTGGGTTCGTAAGGAATTGATGTAATTTTGAAGCCCCGCACTTTAACCAAACCACTTCCTGGGAGACCAGTTGCCTTGCTGCTAATTTGGGATGTCCAGTTTTGCAAGCGCGGTGTTGCCAGGATACCTCCCAACAGCTTTTGGCGTGAAGCTTTGTGTGAAGAATATGTGTTGCAGCCCATTATGCATCCGCGGCAGATCTTGTGCATGGACAAGGCCGGAAAGATCTTGCTTTGCAGGCATAGGGCTCGTGTGGACGTGTCAGGGGCTTTGGGGAAAACGTTTGCAGCAGGGACCCAGTTCTATCACGCCGGGAATGGTAAATTAAAGGTTTCCAAGGTCAAGCGTTCGTATGTCTGGTTTTTCGTTCAGGGCTTGGGTTGAGGATTTAGGGCTTAGGGTTTAGGTCCTGTTTAGGTTTGCGGGTGTCACGTTTAGGAGTGAGGGTTGACCGGATCCTTACAATATCCTTTGGGTTACGTACCATTTATTCATGCCTATTTCGAATGGCACTAGTTAGGGGTCTTTGCGATTTTTGGAGATGGTAGACCAGTTTGGGTCATGATTCGCAGCATGAGGTTTTTCCAGTTATGCACACGATGGATTTCAACAACACCAAATTCCAGCCAGAGGTTCATGGGCAGTTGGAATAGGTTTGTTGTCAGAGGTATGCAGAAGCGTTCTAGTAGCTGCCCTTGAAGTTTGTTGAGCCAAACACTGAACCCTAAATCCAAAAAAAAACCTTGCACCCAAAACTCTAAACCACATCCTAAACCCCACACCGCAAACCGTGAACCATGGGCAGCACAGGTCGGGATCCGCTGGGGATCACCCCCGCTCTCCTTGCATGGCACTGGGAACCTTAGCTTTTGGGAGGTCGATGCTCGGCAGCCCAGAGGTATCCGGGGGTCAGGGTTTTGGGGTCTAGGGTTTAGGGTTTCTGGTTTAGGAGTTTAGGGTATAGGGGTTTGGGTGTGTTCAGGGGGACCCCAATCTTGAGGAGCGGTGATGATCCAAACTATCAGTCGCGTAGTGATAGTCATGACGGAGCTGTGTGCCAAGAAGCCGACCACAAAGCCCAGCCTCCACATTTCATCGTTACCGGAATGGAATGAAGCCTTAGACAGTACACCCTAAGCCCTGAGCCTCAAAGCATTAAAGCTGAGGCCTTGTTCATGCTTCCCGCCACCTACTTCTCTTTGGTCTTGATGACCTTGCTTCTTGGCGCCGGCTTTGTGCACGGAGCATGTCCAGATCCAATTCCTCCAGATGTTCGATTAGCGGATGGTCTGGATTGGTTAAACCCATTGAGATGTACGTGAAACTTGTTGCCCCCACCCAGTAACAGTTGGATATCATTTGAAATCTAATTATATGCAGCCCTTAGTTTTTGCCACTATGATAGACTGTTACTCGGTCAGGGCAGTACCCTAGGATGCAAGGGCTTTATGCCCTTGATCTTGCACTTGGCCATGTGCCGAAAGTTGGTCGGTCTGACTTGCACCCGTAGGAAGAACATCCTATGGGAGTGCAGGTCGGGTCGACCCCCCCCACAATCACTGCAGTCTCTGTAGTCCTCCTTCCCTGGTATAGGGTTTAATGTGGACCCATGATTTAATAAACCCCCTCCCTTTAGGGCCTCAATTTTGGGATCCCTGTTATAATCCCTATTACAGGGAGAGGGTTTATTAATCAGGGGTCTGGTTTATGGTAAACTCTGAACCGAATTTCGGGGAGGGAAGATCTCTCTGACTCTGACTGCAAGCCATACAGGCTTTCGTGCTTCCACAAACCTTGCGCACGTTGGATGCGCATGCCATGCGGCATACTTGTCTGGGTGTTCGTATGGATTCAAGGTGAATCGTCGGAGTTTTTGGTAGAAGGTGTGGGGTGCAAGTAGGGTTTCGGGTTTAGGGCGCTCAATATGTGGTTGATGGTGCGAATCAAAAGTTGCCAGTGAACGCTGCCACCTTCATTTGAGCTGCTGATGGACAGCAATCCATGTTTCAGATTTATGCTATGGCTTGAAGCCCTAAACCCTAAATCCTAAGCCCTATGTAACTTAAGGCTTGGTATGCATGCCTTCTTTCGCCTTCTCGCACGGATCGCTCTTCTTCTGATGGCTCAGTACATGGAGGTTTATGTGGCTAACCATCTGTTTCTTTTTGACGTTGCGGCGCAACTTGTAGCAAGGTTACCCTAAACCATAAACCCTGAACCCGAAACCCTTGTCAGCAGAATCGTGTGTTCATCGATCGGATCATGGTGTAGCTAAGCAGACCCTATGACAATAGTTCGACTGGTACCTTCAGCTTCATAGTAATAACCATATTTCCCTATTATAGTACTATCCTTCTACTGCCGTTCCTGTGGGTGGATCAGGAAGGAATGGGGTTTAGGCTTTAGGGTTTAGCGCTTAGGGTTTAGGGTTTGCATATGCGGGCAATACTGTGGATGGAGGAAAGGATGTTGCAGTGTCATGATGTCGTTAGTCATGTGTATCGCGGCTAGTTTATTTTAAGCTTATTTGTACCTGAAACCATACAGTCCACCTTAAATAGATAGAATCTGGGGTTTTTTGTGATCTTGTCATGATATTGGGCAATTCCATATTCTATCTACTGAAAGGAGAAACCCTACCTGCATGTTTGAAGAATTTGCAAGTGGATCGATTCTCCAGGATAGCTTCTTGAACAGGCCCCACCAGCTTCCTTGACAATATGTTACAGGATTTAGGGTATTGGGTTTAGGGTCTTGGGTTTAGGGTTCTGGGTTATCTCTTAGGTGGCAGTCATAGTGACTACAAGGGATAATAAGGATTGTATTAGAGCCCTCTTATATTCCTAATACACCGACATGACAGGCTGGTGGGTCCTCCTAAGTTATCTCCTTCAGCCACACAAACACCCTAGAGCGCATATTTAAAGACCTCAAGTCCTGCTTACCAGGTCCTCGCAAGCATCCAGTCAGCCAGCAGCTAGATTTGTATTCACAGCCCGCTTTCACTTCACAACTGGAAGTTTTTCCAACGGAATCCCTGGAACCCTGAAGGCAGAAATCCCAGGGGTTCCCATTTGGGCCAAGAAGTCTGGAAACTCGCACTTTACCAAGGTGTCTGCGACAGGAGGTACCCACTGCTTAAGTACCTGATTTTGGGATGTGGGTCTGGGGTATAGGGTTTGCCGCTAAGATCCAGAACGCTATCCAGGTAACAGTGGCTGGAGTAGTTTTTGCCAAGTGGCTGGCTCGCCGCCCTGACCCTAGATTTTACTACTTTTTGGGGTCGCGCAAGCTCGTGACCAACATGTCGACGTGCGGGAGGAAGCGCATTTCATTTCTTGGATCTGTCTTCGGAGCCTGTTTGAATGCAAAAATTATCGCCGACAAAAATGAATATTCCTGTTCATACCCCTCATGTTTGAGCACCTTTAACACCGTTTTATGCTACGGAGAGGCGGTTAAACCTGTAATTGACAGTGTTTTGCGCGCGGCAGAACATGCAACATTGTTTGTTTTTTTCTGGCTCAGACAGATGCGCCCATGTTCTGTGACCCATACTTGCCTTGCTTGTGACGGTGCTGCTTGTCATCTTTTTCTCAAAGTGTAGCACGAACTTGGCGGCCTCAGCCATATCGTTCATGTCCCTAGTGCATCCATGATCGAGAGCATCCATGCTGGCCAAGATAACAACGGTCATGTCCCTAGCGATCTGCTTCTGACTCTTGAACCTAACTTATTAACGAAGTCCCTTACATGCGTCAGCAGTACAAGCCGCCGCAGAACAAGCAGCAGCAACGCCTGCAACACTAGGCCCTCTGACTCTTACGTTCTTAGATGTCCCCTAAAATTATCAACTAATGTAAGCATTTTGGGGAAATTCCTTGACTTGCAAATAGGCCAAGTTAAGCAAAGATGCTATGAAAGACTGTTTTTGCGTTTGCATAACGTGCAAGACATAAGGGCGACAGGTCAGCGGCCTACCTACTTTTTCAGTTTAGCAGGGGGTTGATATGGGGAATCAAGTGTTGAGATCTCTCGAAATGGAAACCTCCTGGCAGCTACTTCATGCTCAGAAGAGAACGAGGAGGTAGAAGGCCTAAACCCTGACGTTATTTCTTTAGGGTTTAAGGGTTTAGGGTTTAGGGTTGCTAGCAAGCAAGAAAGGAGTGGCAGAACTGGAAAGAATTACATTCTTGGGGATTATACAGACATTACCATGAGGATCCACTCCAGATTTTTTGGCAAGCCAGAGATTAGTAAAACATCCACTCCTAAACTCTAGACATTGCAGATATACTCCTAAATGGAGATCCTCATTCGCTACCCCAAGCCGTGGTAATATTGAGATGCTTCCTAGAATTATGCCATGAAGCGGCAGGAGTGCCTCAAGTACGGCTGCTCAGCTATAACGCTTTACATGTAAACCCTAAACCCTAAGCCCTTAACCCTAAGTCTGGGAACCCAAAAAACCAGTGCACATCCGAAGGTCTCGCTTACACAGACTCTCCAGGTTCATGCTCAGCATGTTCCCAAATTTCCCCAATTGAGATGTACTCTTGGGTTATCTATGGGGTTTAGGCCCACACCTGCTGAATCCATCACGTTTCACGACGATTTTCTGCCGAGAGGTAATTCTTTCCCAGAGCAAAAGCTTTGTCCCATAGCTTGCAGATGAATGAACCCACGGACGGTCTGTGGGATGCGAGAAGAAATTGATACCAGTCAGTCCAGCTTCACCATGTGCTGTTTGGGACATTATTCAATGTGTAGTTTTCGGTGTTTGCTGCAAACGTCTAAGGTACTACTCTGAGTGCGGCCCCAAACGTGCTGGGACCGCAAGTTTTCCCTAAGCCACAAAATCCCTTAAACCCAACACGGGGAGCTCTAAAGCTAAACCCTAGATGCCAAACCCCAGGCCAAAGTTGCAAACGCTACAAAACCTAAGATTGTCAGCCACGGGGGTCTTGGGGCCTAGAGGA